ACAATGGATACCCAACCCAAAATAGCGCAAAGACTTTCTCGGAAATCCGAAATTTGCTGGCAAAACAAATTCTAACATTTATACAACCAAAAATGTTTATTACAATATTGTCAGTGAAACGTCCATGGACTGTTCTGACCTTTTTTGTTCAGGGCAACAAGGTTAAGCCCTGTTTATGTAGCACGCATTTTAGTATTATCCTTCCAGGTACACACAGGATTTCTAAGCGTTTTGCTCTATTCAGACATTTGACTAAACATTTCTCACTTCCATTCTTGGGACTTGTCCAGCCAATCGCAGTTTCATTTAATGACCCTAATAGTCTTACTGAAAGCTTTCTCAGGCGCCATCAAATTAGTACAAACCTATAATAACTCAGATATACACCAATGTCTTTGTTTTGGCCAACCCTTAGATTTCAAAGTAATAAGTAGGAGAGAATTGTAAGTTAACGAAGTATTTTTATGACGACATTCATTAAAAAGTCGGAATCGTGGTTCGTCGGCAGTGGCGCTGGATTAATGCAGTAACAATACGACGCATAAAAATTCCGCTTGTCTTTGATTCAGAGAGAAGGAATGTAATTTACACTTCTAACTTTTTTTTGGCACATCTCCTTTCTCCTTGATTTATTCCTACACCTCCTCAATCTCTTTATCACAATGTCCTCTTTTTTATTTAATTGGAAAAGTTTGAAACTCGTAAGCATTTGGTCTAATATACAGGTTCCTGCCTTTCGCCTTTGTATTTCAATTGTGGTTGAGGTCTCTTATATAAGAAAACCAAAGAGACCTTCAAACACTTGCACTGTAAATTTATAGTTTATAGTTGCACTCCAAGTTCCCTCCCCAAGGACTCGTCAACATCTGCACTAGACGTAGCTTTCGTATAAATGCGGATATTTCGTTTATCATTTTGGTCTGGACAATCATAGAGGCGTTATGAAATATTTTTTCTGCAAGCTTTCATGTATAGACATAAATACATTTGCAAGGTGCAATTTTGACTTCATAACTAATTTATTCATTATAGTATATTAAACGACGCTTTCAGTAGCTTAGTCTATGTAGCGTCCAATAAGAGGATGGTAGTGAATATTAAATCGGAATTGTGACCTAATGGAAGATAGCGTTTTGCTCTATTCAGACATTTGACTAAACATTTCTTACTTCCATTCTTGGGACTTGTCCAGCCAATCGCAGTTTCATTTAATGACCCTAATAGTCTTACTGAAAGCTTTCTCAGGCGCCATCAAATTAGTACAAACCTATAATAACTCAGATATACACCAATGTCTTTGTTTTGGCCAACCCTTAGATTTCAAAGTAATAAGTAGGAGAGAATTGTAAGTTAACGAAGTATTTTTATGACGACATTCATTAAAAAGTCGGAATCGTGGTTCGTCGGCAGTGGCGCTGGATTAATGCAGTAACAATACGACGCATAAAAATTCCGCTTGTCTTTGATTCAGAGAGAAGGAATGTAATTTACACTTCTAACTTTTTTTTGGCACATCTCCTTTCTCCTTGATTTATTCCTACACCTCCTCAATCTCTTTATCACAATGTCCTCTTTTTTATTTAATTGGAAAAGTTTGAAACTCGTAAGCATTTGGTCTAATATACAGGTTCCTGCCTTTCGCCTTTGTATTTCAATTGTGGTTGAGGTCTCTTATATAAGAAAACCAAAGAGACCTTCAAACACTTGCACTGTAAATTTATAGTTTATAGTTGCACTCCAAGTTCCCTCCCCAAGGACTCGTCAACATCTGCACTAGACGTAGCTTTCGTATAAATGCGGATATTTCGTTTATCATTTTGGTCTGGACAATCATAGAGGCGTTATGAAATATTTTTTCTGCAAGCTTTCATGTATAGACATAAATACATTTGCAAGGTGCAATTTTGACTTCATAACTAATTTATTCATTATAGTATATTAAACGACGCTTTCAGTAGCTTAGTCTATGTAGCGTCCAATAAGAGGATGGTAGTGAATATTAAATCGGAATTGTGACCTAATGGAAGATATGAAATTTATCTGGAGGGACTAACGAAATGCCTGAATCAAAACAGCAGGTCGCAGGGCCGATGTTTGAACTCAGGATCTACCGAATACGGAAGTAGTGATAACCACTCGACCTAGAATTTCTGCACGAATGACCCCAAATAGAGGATTAAATGGGGGTTGCGAGAGGAGAAGGGGGAAATATCACCCGGTTGTTCATGTTATACGTCGAGTTATGAACACAAAACTTCAAGAACAAAGCACATAACGTGTTTTTTCAGGTCGGTTGGAGTTCACTCGAAACAGATACATAATTCATGAAGGGAAATTGGTTCGTGTTGTTTAGTTTAATATTAGCATAGAACATATCCGTTTGTTAGTAAAATTGCCGCTGAAATATGAAAGGGGAAGGAATGTAATTTACACTTCTAACTTTTTTTTGGCACATCTCCTTTCTCCTTGATTTATTCCTACACCTCCTCAATCTCTTTATCACAATGTCCTCTTTTTTATTCAGTCGGAAAAGTTTGAAACTCGTAAGCATTTGGTCTAATATACAGGTTCCTGCCTTTCGCCTTTGTATTTCAATTGTGGTTGAGGTCTCTTATATAAGAAAACCAAAGAGACCTTCAAACACTTGCACTGTAAATTTATAGTTTATAGTTGCACTCCAAGTTCCCTCCCCAAGGACTCGTCAACATCTGCACTAGACGTAGCTTTCGTATAAATGCGGATATTTCGTTTATCATTTTGGTCTGGACAATCATAGAGGCGTTATGAAATATTTTTTCTGCAAGCTTTCATGTATAGACATAAATATATTTGCAAGGTGCAATTTTGACTTCATAACTAATTTATTCATTATAGTATATTAAACGACGCTTTCAGTAGCTTAGTCTATGTAGCGTCCAATAAGAGGATGGTAGTGAATATTAAATCGGAATTGTGACCTAATGGAAGATATGAAATTTATCTGGAGGGACTAACGAAATGCCTGAATCAAAACAGCAGGTCGCAGGGCCGATGTTTGAACTCAGGATCTACCGAATACGGAAGTAGTGATAACCACTCGACCTAGAATTTCTGCACGAATGACCCCAAATAGAGGATTAAATGGGGGTTGCGAGAGGAGAAGGGGGAAATATCACCCGGTTGTTCATGTTATACGTCGAGTTATGAACACAAAACTTCAAGAACAAAGCACATAACATGTTTTTCAGGTCAGTTGGAGTTCACTCGAAACAGATACATAATTCATCAAGGGAAATTAGTTCGTGTTGTTTAGTTTAATATTAGCATAGAACATATCCGTTTGTTAGTAAAATTGCCGCTGAAATATGAAAGGGACATATGTTAATTGTAGCAACGGTGGTCAGTGAAAACGAGGAATAATCACGAAAACAAAAACTAAACAATTATCTGGCATCTGAACATGGTCGTAATAATAATAATAATTATAATGCTTGAACTTTAGTTATATTTGAGGTATTGATAAGGAATTGTTATTTCAATTAATTTCATTATCATTTATTATGTAGGTCACTGCATATTTGCGTCGGTATTGACATCTTGATCTCATTCTAAGAAAGAAACGTAATAGACTTAGAGTTTGAGAGCGTTTTAGTGTCAAGAATATTTGGACTTACGAGACAAGTGATAAAAGAATGGAGAGAATTACAGTATGAAGAGATTCGTAATTATTAGTGTTCCTAGCATTTTTAGGGGATTATTTCCAATGTGAATTTGGAGGAAGTGAATATTGTACTGAGAGTTTTAATTTTAGGAAGAGAATACTTGGGGGATTTTTGTCAAACATGACTCGAATATATGGAATAGATTCTACTGGCTCAGGACTGGGCCCGACAACTGTATTTTGTTATTACGGCAATGAGTTTTCTGGGTTTCTAACCAGAAACGTTCTAGAGAATCGAAGTGAATATTAAATTCTCTGGAAAGACTCACAACCTTACAGTTAGGTTTAACATTTTATTTGAAGTACACAGGAACCCAGAAGACGGATATCTTCATACTCACCGCTGTGAGAACCTCAAGTCTTACAAATCTGTCTTTGTTTTTGTGGATACAAATTTAACAAGATTTAGAGTCGAGATAAAGCTTTGTCTTGTAGGAGATCAAAGCTAGTCCTGCTGCCTGCTGCAGTGTTGCACAAAGCCCTGGACTTCTGTAAAGGGAGCAGATATATTTTCACAAATTGAAATGTTCCTGGTTTTTAGCCTGATTATTTCAACTGTGAAAGACTTGCGTGAAATATTTAAATGCTCGATAAATAGCTTCTGTGAGGCATATCTGAGGCCGATAATGAGTAATTTAGTGATAGTTCGTTCGATAATTATTGAGCGAACATAATGAAGAAAGCCAAGCTTGCATCCTATTGTCTGTCAGATTGAGAAATCTGCAAGAGCAAAATTCTCACGAAGTCTGCTTCTTTTTAAAGCAGATAAGTGAATAACTCGGTATAGTAATGTGAAATGGACTTCAGACATAGTTCATTTTTGTTATTAAGACAGTTATTTGTGGCCTCTTGTCTTTGCAATCAGTTTTTCGCTTCACGCGAAGTGTTTCGAGACTCTCTCACTAGATGGTGCAGCTGTGAGCTTACCACTAAATAGCGCATTCTCTGCTAGCCGTTTGATCGAAAACGTTTGTTGGCCTAGCTCATGAGAAGAGTAAATGAACGGATCTGGGGAAGAATCAAACGTGCGCAAAGAAATCCGTGTGTATGGGTGGCTCGATGTTGAGACAACGCATGTGTTGGTGAAATTGTTTGCGAAATGGAAGATTTATGCTTGTAGGTTACTACCATTACGTATTGGCAACTTGTATTTAACTGACATAGATCATCGGAACGTTTGATTACCCTATTCTGCCGCCCCCTGTACCCAAACACATCGACAATATTAAACCCCAGATGGCAGCAGCTGGTATTAGTGAATAATAAAGAACTTCGTATTTAACTCTTACCCTGTTTTTAGGAACGGATGTAGTAGGCTCTCAATATAATTATAATGCCTGCCTAAACTAAACATATCGTGAAATGTCAGCAACGGAGGACGTGGAACGTTACATAACTCAAATATGGTCAGAGAATTCGCAGAAGATGGAAACACGACAACTGTTGTCAGTGCCCACACAGGCAAAAGGTACAACATTAATATTTGATATACACTAATGCGTGCTTGATATATTAGCTACATTTAATACATGTGCCAATTGATATTTGTATTCACTTGATTACAAACAGTAAATGTCATGATAACTGGTCTCTGATCGTAACACTTAGGAAAGAAAAACAATGACGTAACTGGTCAGTTCCAAAATAGCGTAAAATGTGAGACTTAGCTGATACAGGTAAAGGAAAAGTACTCCCCTAAGATACGAAAGAAGGAGGATCTATTTGGAAAGTAGCTTTGGAACCACTTAATCTAAGTTCGAGACACTTCTCCGTCCTTCCACACCTTTACAGGGGGCCGTGATGGTTCGAAAACATTCGAAAACATTCTAGAAACTACGAGTGTCTGGTTGAACGATCCAGAAGGCGGTGGGAACTACTCGGGAGGCGTAATACACACGGCCGGCCGTTCTGCTCTCAGTAACAGGCGCCTCGCGAGAATACTATTTGAATTGAAAAGATTGTAAAGGTACCTATCCATGACAGAACAAAATGTCGAATTTTCAAAGCCGTCTTACGCCCAATTTTGATATATGCTGCTGAAAGTAGATGTAGAGAGAAAGTTATCAAGGAAGACTTTGAGAGAGACAGTCAGAAGCGAGAACATTCGAGGGGTGTGTAACAAACGATGTTAGACAGGAGGAGATACTGGATTAACGATATCAGCAGAATGGATCCACAAAGAATCTGCAAATTTGCAAGGGACAAGTGACCACAAGGAAAAAGAGACGTAGAAAGACCAGGGAAGAGGTGACGGATTCTCTTTGACATGAAAGAACAGGCAACAGCCAATTATAACAGAAGGAAGGAGAAGAAGAAGTGAAGGTGTTACATTCCACACGCGTTCTTTGACCTTTGCATTTTGAATGCTACAAGATAAAGTAGAAGAATAGAAAATATTAATTTACATATAAATTACTACGAAATGTACCAATAAACCACGAAAGGTACACGTATTATCTACCACTTTATAGATTTTGCGTGCCTAGCTCCAATGGTCATTAATTATAGGAATCGCACAAAAAAGCTAAATGCACCTATTTTGCATTCAGCCGCCGTTTTATTGTGTAATGGAAAGACACCAGAACGAAAGTTGCGTACTGTTAGCCTCTTTTCATAACGTTGTTTTGTGTCACTAGTTTCGTTTCCATCTCATAATTCTACGTTTCTGTTATCGGTTGCAGAAAATTAAAATGTACGAGGTTGCGTAGTCTAAGAGGTAAGAATAACACCAGAGATTCTGCAGACAGACGGCAGATGGAGAGACACGATCAGCAACATATGCGTCGTGCAAAGTAGGCAAATAAGAGAATTTTCTACTTTTAGTGTGAGCAGTGCGCTAAGACATAGTCCTTCAGCGAGGTGCGTCATCGCTGCAAATGACGTATGTAAATCTTTGGACGTATTTAGCATAAACATTGTCTCCCTTGAGGGCACGTTCTCAACAAGGGAAATGATCTAGCTTCGTTATCTGTTTTTTTATATTTTTTAAAGTTTTACAATTATATTAGTGTTCCCTAGGTGGATTATTTGTTTTTATTTATATTCTTCATTTATTTTATTTGTGTAAAATATTTTTCTATTTTGGGTTTGCTTGTATTTGGCTGTTATATTTAATACTGTACATGTATAAGTTTAGTTAATCTGTTTGTGTAATATTTTTCATTATTGTTGTATGTATTATCAGTGTTTGCCTGTTATT